GATATTCCCAAACTCTAGATATACCAGAACTTCCAAAGATTTCGGATATTTTGGATTCCAGAGATTCTGAATATTTCGAAAAGTGAAGATTCCAAAGATCCCTTAAATACCAGAAATTCTAAAGATTCGAAATATTTGGGAAGTTCTGAAGATTCCCAAGATTCTGACCATTTTGAAGATTCTAACGATCCTAAAGATTCTGAAAATTCTGAGTACTTCGAACGTTGAAAATTAAAAAAAATCTAAAGATTTTGAAGATTCCGTAGATTGCAATGTTTATAAAGATTCCAAAGGTCCAGAGATTGTAGAAAATTAAAAAATTACGGATGTTCCGTGGCTCTAAATATTCCAGAAATTCCAAGAACTTTTCCGACACTAAAAATCCCCGAGATTCTAAAGATTCTGGAGATACTGAAGGTTTCGAAGGTTCTAAAGGTTCGGAAGATTCTGAGTAATTCGAAGACTGAAGATTATAAAGATATTAAAGGTTCTAGAAATTTCAGAGATTCGAAAGATTTTGGAAATTTTAAAGATTCTAAAAATTCTGCACATTCTAAAAATTCCAGGGATTCTGAAGATTATAAAGATCCCGAAAGTTCCAGAGTATTGCGAGACTCCAGGGAATTTCAAACTTCGGAAGGTTCTAAAGATTACAAGGATCCTGAAGATTCTAAAGAGTCTGTATATTCTGAGGTTTTTTTTGAAAACTTTGAAGACTCCGAAGATTGAGTTTGGTATCTTTGACATCAAACAGATGTCAAAGCAAACGTTCCAGAGATTCCAGAAATTACAAAGATTCCACAGATTCTAAAACTTTAGACAGAAATTCCAACGATAATCTGAATATTCTGAGAATTCTGAAGACTGAAGATTCCAGAAAATCTGAAGACTGAAGATTCCGGAAAATCTGAAAACTGAAAACTTCGGACGACTATAAAGATTCCAAAGATTTGACAGAATCCGAAGGTCCCAGAGATTCTGTAAAAATTCCAGAGAGTCCAAGATTTCAAAGATTTAAAAATCCAGAAATTTAAAAATATTCTTAACATTTCGAAGACTGGAAAGTCCAAAAATCTTAAGACTTTGAAGACTCTGAGGATTATAAAGATTCCAAAGATTAAAAAATTCGAGAAATTTCAAAATATTCTGATTATTTGGAAGGTTGAAAATTCCAGAAAATTCAAAAATTTCGGATGTTCCAGGACCATAGAAATTCCAAAAATCTCCGAGACTAGAAATTCCCTAGATTCTAAAGATTCTGGAGATTCTGAGGATTCCAAAGATTCTGAATATTCTGAAAATTCCGAAAATTCTAGAGGTTTCAAAGAGTATAAAGATTCCGAGAATTCTGAGTAATTCCAAAAATCTGAATACTTTAAAATTCCAAAGATTCTGAAAATTATAAGGATATCAATGATTCTAAAAATTCTGCAGATTCTAAAAATTTCAAATTTTTGATTTTGAAAATTATACAGATACTAAAAGTTCGAGAGTTATTCTCAATCTTTGGAGATTCTAAAAATCTCAAAGATTCCGAATATTCCGAAATTACAGCGATTCTAAATGTTCTAAAGATTCCTAGGATTCTGAAAATTCCAAAGAGCTTGAAAATTCTCAGGATTCTAAAGACTCTGAATAATTTGAAGACTGAAGATTCGAGAAAATCTGAAAACTGAAAACTGTGAACGAATATAAAGATTCCAAAGATTTCGAATAATCCAAACGTTCCACAGATTCTAAAAAATTCCAAAAATTCCGGAGAGTGCAAGATTAGAGATTCCAGAGATTCTAAAGATTCGAAAGATTCTGAGTATGTCGAAGAGTGAAAAGTCTAAAAAATCTTAAAACTTTGAAGATTCTGAGGACTACAAAGATTCCAAAGATTCTAAAAATTCCAGAAATTTCAAAATATTCTGATTATTTGGAAGGTTGAAAATTCCAAAAAATCTGCAGGCTGAAGGTTTCGTAGATTACAAAGATTATAAAAATTCCAGAAAATTCAAAAGTTCCGGATGTTCCAGGACCATAGAAATTCCAAAAATCTCCGAGACTAGAAATTCCCTAGATTCTAAAGATTCTGGAGATTCTGAGAATTCCAAAGATTCTGAATATTCTGAAAATTCCGAAAATTCTAGAGGTTTCAAAGAGCATAAAGATTCCGAGAATTCTGAGTAATTCGAAAGCTGAAGATTCCAAAAATCTGAATACTTCAAAATTCCAAAGATTCTGAAAATTATAAGGATATCAAAGATTCTAAAAATTCTGCAGATTCTAAAAATTTCAAATTTTTGATTTTGAAAATTATACAGATACCAAAAGTTCGAGAGTTATTCTCAATCTTTGGAGATTCTAAAAATCTCAAAGATTCCGAATATTCCGAAATTACAGCGTTTCTAAATGTTCTAAAGATTCCTAGGATTCTGAAAATTCCAAAGAGCTTGAAAATTCTCAGGATTCTAAAGACTCTGAATAATTTGAAGACTGAAGATTCGAGAAAATCTGAAAACTGAAAACTGTGAACGAATATAAAGATTCCAAAGATTTCGAATAATCCAAACGTTCCACAGATTCTAAAAAATTCCAAAAATTCCGGAGAGTGCAAGATTAGAGATTCCAGAGATTCTAAAGATTCGAAAGATTCTGAGGACTACAAAGATTCCAAAGATTCTAAAAATTCCAGAAATTTCAAAATATTCTGATTATTTGGAAGGTTGAAAATTCCAAAAAATCTGCAGGCTGAAGGTTTCGTAGATTACAAAGATTATAAAAATTCCAGAAATTTCAAAAATTCCGGATGTTCCAGGACCATAGAAATTCCAAAAATCTCCGAGACTAGAAATTCCCTAGATTCTAAAGATTCTGGAGATTCTGAGAATTCCAAAGATTCTGAATATTCTGAAAATTCCGAAAATTCTAGAGGTTTCAAAGAGCATAAATATTCCGAGAATTCTGAGTAATTCGAAAGCTGAAGATTCCAAAAATCTGAATACTTCAAAATTCCAAAGATTCTGAAAATTATAAGGATATCAAAGATTCTAAAAATTCTGCAGATTCTAAAAATTTCAAATTTTTGATTTTGAAAATTATACAGATACCAAAAGTTCGAGAGTTATTCTCAATCTTTGGAGATTCTAAAAATCTCAAAGATTCCGAATATTCCGAAATTACAGCGATTCTAAATGTTCTAAAGATTCCTAGGATTCTGAAAATTCCAAAGAGCTTGAAAATTCTCAGGATTCTAAAGACTCTGAATAATTTGAAGACTGAAGATTCGAGAAAATCTGAAAACTGAAAACTGTGAACGAATATAAAGATTCCAAAGATTTCGAATAATCCAAACGTTCCACAGATTCTAAAAAATTCCAAAAATTCCGGAGAGTGCAAGATTAGAGATTCCAGAGATTCTAAAGATTCGAAAGATTCTGAGTATGTCGAAGAGTGAAAAGTCTAAAAAATCTTAAAACTTTGAAGATTCTGAGGACTACAAAGATTCCAAAGATTCTAAAAATTCCAGAAATTTCAAAATATTCTGATTATTTGGAAGGTTGAAAATTCCAAAAAATCTGCAGGCTGAAGGTTTCGTAGATTACAAAGATTATAAAAATTCCAGAAAATTCAAAAATTCCGGATGTTCCAGGACCATAGAAATTCCAAAAATCTCCGAGACTAGAAATTCCCTAGATTCTAAAGATTCTGGAGATTCTGAGGATTCCAAAGATTCTGAATATTCTGAAAATTCCGAAAATTCTAGAGGTTTCAAAGAGTATAAAGATTCCGAGGATTCTGAGTAATTCCAAAAATCTGAATACTTTAAAATTCCAAAGATTCTGAAAATTATAAGGATATCAATGATTCTAAAAATTCTGCAGATTCTAAAAATTTCAAATTTTTGATTTTGAAAATTATACAGATACCAAAAGTTCGAGAGTATTCTCAATCTTTGGAGATTCTAAAAATCTCAAAGATTCCGAATATTCCGAAATTACAGCGATTCTAAATGTTCTAAAGATTCCTAGGATTCTGAAAATTCCAAAGAGCTTGAAAATTCTCAGGATTCTAAAGACTCTGAATAATTTGAAGACTGAAGATTCGAGAAAATCTGAAAACCGAAGACTGTGAAAGATTCCAAAGATTTCGAGTAATCCAAACGTCCCCGAGATTATAAAAATTCCAAAAATTCCGGAGAGTGCAAGACCAGAGATTCCAGAGATTGTAAAGATTCGAAAGATTCTGAGTATGTCGAAGAGTGGAAAGTCTAAAAAATCTTAAAACTTTGAAGATTCTGAGGACTATAAAGATTCCCAAGATTCTAAAAATTCCAGAAATTTCAAAATATGCTGACTTTTGGAATAGATTGAAGTCTAAAGATTCCAAAAAGCCTGAAAACTTTGAAAATTCCAAAGATTTTGAAATCTATAACGATTTAAACAGTTTTAGAGGTTCCAGAAATTTCAAAAACGCCAAAAATAAATTCCAAAAAATCTGAAAATTGAAGATTTCAAAGAAGGTTTCAAAGCTTTCAGAACTCCCAGGGATACCAGTTTGTAAAAATTCTGAAGATTTTGAAATTTATAACGATTCGAGAACTTCCAAGTATATCAGTTTCCAAATGTCGGATATTCCGAAATTTTAAAGATTCTGGAGATTCTGAAGTTCCTGAAAATTCTGAAGATTCTGAGTACTTTGAAGGCTGAAGATTCTGGAGATTTCAAGTATTTTGAATATTCTGAATAATTCGAAAACTGAAGATTCCTGAAAATCCTAAAATTTCGAAAATTCCGAAGGTTCTAAAGAATTTAAAGATTCCAAAGAATCCAATCCTCCCAGGGATTCCAGAAATTCCAAAAATTCTGGATAACCCGTGACTCTAGAGGTTCCGGCGATTCGAAAGATTGTGAGGAAAAAATTCTCAACTCCGCCATATTTAAAATGGCGCTTCGGCTACTTCCGGCGGACATTAATTTTGCAATTTCGTGTACACCGGCTATCCGGAAACGCACGATCTGCACCGGAACGTCCAAAACATGGAACTGCGGCTGTCTGCAAGCTATAATCGAGTCCACGGTTAGAGGAACAGTGGCTTGAAACCTCGACTGCAAAAATAACCCTTAAATAAAGCCTCCACAAAGACTACACTCACCGCGGTAGAACTTCCAGCCGCCATACTGCGTCTCAACCTCTAAACCTCCTGTAAAAATTTATAAAGAACAAAATCAAAACCAACAAACTAAATGTAAACGTAGCTTTTATTATCAATATTATCACAGGGTAAAATTCATTCCACAAGGAACGGCGTCTGGTTCTTGCTAATAATATCCCTAGCCTCTCCTAAATACCCCTCGAAGAACTCCTCCACGCGCTCCACCACCTCCACGTCTTTAACACCCTCCAAATTCACCCTAATCGTGCTCTCGACGCAGTCTTCATGGTCCTGGGTTTGCGCCATATCGTACGACGCCGGCAACGCCAATAAAAACTCGACCAATTCAAGAATCAACGGGAAGCAGGAGTCGTTCAAAATCATCACCCACTTGGACGCCACCCCTCGAACCTCCATCAACGGCACTCGTGCTATTTTACAATTAACCGCCTGAACTTCCCTCTCCAAGTCCCGACACTTATCGCACGCCGCCTCCTTAATTTGGTGGTACGACCCATGCACTTGGTCAAACTTGATGGGCAACTCCGTCAGCAAAACCCACCCATGAGTGTCGAAATTACCGAACTGGCGTAAAAGATAATCTAGATACGTCACGGCGCGAATGTACGTCATGTGAATAATGTCAAGAACTGTGTTATCCAGGTCTTGAATTCGCTGGTCGTCTTCGGAAGTCAGCTGGTTGTGCTCCCTCAAGTACTCGATTTCTGTGTTAAGGTAGCACCAAGGCTCGGATAACGGTAAATCGCCTTCGTGGAGCTTCTGAAAAGTGTCTCTTAGTTCACGCAAGTGAAAAAAATACGCCACTGCGTTATTGTCCCGGAGTTGGTACTCAGCGAGCTTTCGGTACAATTCTTTAACAAAAACGAGCAGAAATCGGTACTCGACGTTGGAAAACAGGCTGGTGAGGGAATGCGGGAGGCACAATAGCGGCTTCAAGTAGTTATTAATGGCTGTGTAGTTCCCCGTGACGTAATCCACGTAGCTGCTAAGCAAAATATTCTTCTGCCCCGCTCTCCACTCCGCATAAGTCGCGCTCAACTGGTTGATCACCACCGAAGTGTTCCCCGAGTTTAAACTGACCTCCCCTAGCATCACCAAGGGCTGAATCACGTCATCCGGCAAATAATCCAACAAAACCCTGAACAACATTTCCACAAACCCGTCGCTTGTGGGCAAATTCAGGACGTCGTTCCCGCTCAGAATCCTCAAGTTTACTATATAATCGCTAGTGTCGTTCACGTTTCCCGGATCCTTGAACCTGTAGTCGCCGCAGTACCCCACGATTTTTTCGATAGCGCCGTTGTCCAAGAGCGCGGTGGCCAGCTGCCAGGGGGCGCACTGGCACTCGAGCTGTCGGTACTGAACCCCGACGCTTTTGTCAAAGAACTGGACGATAATGGGGGTACAACCCATCCTGGTTTTGGAATGAATGGCGCTTATGTGCCAAATTCTAAAGGTTCCCGAGATTCTGTGTAATTCGAAAGCTGAAGATTCCAAAAATCTGAATACTTTAAAATTCCAAAGATTCTGAAAATTATAACGATATCAAAGATTCTAAAAATTCTGCAGATTCCAAAATTTTCAAGGATTTTGAAAATTATAAAGATCCTAAAAATTCCAGAGTTATTCTGAGACTTTGGAGATTCTAAAAATCCCAAAGATTCCTGATATTCCGAGATTCCAGGGGTTTTAAATGTTCTAAAGATTTCAAAGATTCTGAAAATTCCGAGACTTTAGAAACAGATTCCAAAGATATTGTGAAGATTATGAAGACTGAAGATTCGAGAAAATCTGAAAACCGAAAACTTTGAACGAATATAAGGATTCCAAAGATTCTGGAGAGTGCAAGACTCTAGAGATTCAAGTGATTCGAAACATTCTGAGTATTTCGAAGATGAAAAGTCCAAAAAGTCTTAAAAGTTTGAAGATTCTAAGAACTATAAAGATTCAAAAGATTCTAGAAATTCCAGAAATTTCAAAATAATCTGAAGTTTTGAAATAGGTTGAAGTCTAAAGATTCCAAAAAATCTGAAAACTTTGGAGATTTCGAAGAAGTTCCAGGTATTCCAGAAATTCCGGATATTCCGAGATTTTAAAGATTCTGGAGATACGAAAGTTTCCAAAAATTCTGAAGATTTTGAAAGTAAAAATCTGAAAACTTTGAAAATTCCAAAGATATTGAAATTTATAACGATTTCAAAAGTTTTAGAGGTTCCAGAAATTAAAAAAGCCAGAAATCCCTGACTAGAGAATCCAGAGATTCTAAAGGTTCTAAAATTTCAGAATATGTTGAAATCTGAAAATTCCAAAAAATCTGAAAACTTTAAGATTTAGAAGGTTTCAAAGATTCCAGAAATCCCAGGGATACCAGTTTGTAAAAAATCTAGATATTCCGAGATTTTAAAAACTATGGAGATTCTGAAGTTTCTAAAATGTCTGAAGATTTTGAGTATTCTGAGTACTTCGAAGGCTGAAGATTTCAAAAAATCTTGAAACTTTGAAAATCCCAAAGATTTTGAAGTTTATAACGATTTCAAACGCCTTGGAGCTTCCAGAAATTTCAAAAACTCCGGAAGTCCGGGACTATAGAGATCCAGAGATTATAAAGATAGGAAAGCTTCTAAAGCTGCTGGAATTTCAAAGATTCTAAAGATTTTGAAGTTTCGAAATATGTTGAAATCTGAATGTTACAAAAAAAAAAAAACCAGAAACCTTGAAGATTTCGATTTTTTTTAAATTCTGGATATTCTGAGATTTTGAGGATTCTGGAGATTCCGAAGTTTCTGAAATTTTTAAAAATTCTGAAGATTTTGAATATTCTGTGCGCTTCGAAAGGAATTTCAAAGATACTAAAGATTCTGAAAATTCTGCGTATTGTAAAACTTCCAAGGATTCTGAAAATTATAAAGATCCCAAGAGATTCTAGAAATCTCAAGATTCCGGATATTCTAAGATTCCAGGAATTCTAAAAATTCTAAAGTTCTAAAGATTCCAAACATATTGACGATTCTGGAGGGTTTTTGGAGTTACCAAAAAAATTGAAAACTTTGAAGATTCCGAGGATTCTAAACATTGTAAAGATTCTTAAGATTTCAATATTCCGAAAATTTAGATACAGATTCCAAAAATGTTCTGAATATTTCGAAGACTGAAGATTCCAGAAAATCTGAAAACTGAAAACTTCGAAGGAATGTAAAGATTCCTAAGATTTCAGATAATCCAAAAGTCCCAGAGATTCCAAAAATTCCAAAAATTCCGGTGAGTCCAAGACTAGAGATTCCAGAGATTCTAAAGATTCTGAGGATTCTAAAGATTCCAAAGATTCCAAAGATTTCAAAGATTCCAAAGATCTGATGGATTCCAAAAGTTCTAAAGGTTCAAAATAATAGGGAGGTTCTGAAGATTTCAAAGATTCTAAAAATTCTGAGTATTTCGAAGATTGAACATCCCAAAAAATCTGAAGACTTTGAAGATTCCGTAGATTGTAAAGATTATAAAGATTCCAGAAAGTTCAAAAATTCCGGATGTTACAGGACTCTAGAGATTCCAGAAATTCCAATAATTCCGGAACTTCCAAGACTCCAGAAATTCCCGAGAATCTAAAGATTCTGGAGATTCTGAATATTCCAAAGATTCTGAATATTCTGAAGATTCCTAAGGTTCGAAAAGTTCCGAAGATTTTCAGTAATTCGGAGGCTGAAGATTCCAAAAATTTGAATACTTCAAAACTCCAAAATTCTGAAGATTATAAATATATCAAAGGTTCTAGAAATACCAGAGATTCGAAAGATTCTGAAAGTTCTGTAAATTCTAAAGATTCTAATAATTCTGCGAATTGTAAAACTTCCAAGGATTCTCAAAATTATAAAGATCCCAAGAGATTCTATAAATCTCAAGATTCCGGATATTTTGAGATTCCAGGAATTCTAAAAATTCTAATGTTCTAGAGATTCCAAACATATTGACGATTCTGGAGGGTTTTTGAAGATTCCAAAAAAATTTAAAACTTTGAAGATTCCGAAGATTCTAAACATTGTAAAGATACTTAAGATTTCAATATTCCGAAAATTTAAATACAGATTCCAAAAATATTCTGAATATTTCGCGGACTGAAGATTCCAGAAAATCTGAAAACTGAAAACTTCGAAGGAATGTAAAGATTCCTAAGATTTCAGATAATCCAAAAGTCCCAGAGATTCCAAAAATTCCAAAAATTCCGGTGAGTCCAAGACTAGAGATTCCAGAGATTCTAAAGATTCTGAGGATTCTAAAGATTCCAAAGATTTCAAAGATTCCAAAGATTTTAAAGATTCCAGAAATTTCAAAATATTTTGAAAGATCCCGAAGATTCTACAGACTATAAAATTCTAAACGTTACAGAGAATCCAAAAATTCTAAAGATTCAAAAGACTGGAGATTTTAAAGATTTCAATAATTCTGAAAATTCTATTTCGAAGGTAGAAAATTCCACAAAAATCTGAGGAGTGAAGATTCCGAAGATTCTAAAGATAATAAAGATCTATAGATACCAGATTCCAAAAATTTCAAAAATTCTGAATATTCCGAAACTATATTTACCAGAAATTTCGGATATTCTGAATATTTCGAAAAATAAAGAGTCCAGAGGCCCCATAGATTCCAGAAATTCTGACAATCCTGAAGATTCTAACGATCCCAAAAATTGTGAAAATTGTGAGTATTTCGAAGGTACAAAATTCCAAGTAATCTGAAGATTTTGAAAAAGGTTCCAAAGATTCCATAAAATTCCTTAGAAATTCCCGAGATTCTAAAGGTTCCAAAGAATCTGAATATTCTGAAGATTCCGAAGATTCTGAGTAATTTAAAGGCTGAAGATTCCAAAAATCTGAATAGTTTAAAATTCCAAAAATACTAAAGATATCAAAAGTTCCAGAGATTCGTAAGATTCTGAAGGTCCTGGACAATCTAAAAGTTCAAAAAATTCTATAGATTCTAAAACTTCCAAGGATTCTGAAGAATATGAAGATCCCA